TGCATTCCAAGTTTCTGAAATTACACACTATGCTATGTTTGTGTTGGGATGCTTTTACTCTATATTTCTTCTTTCCTTTTACTATTATTATTATTATTATTAATTTTAATAAAAATTTACAGAGACTTTGGATTTCCTTTCATTCATTGTTACACTTTTCTCCCTTCCCACCCCTCAGCTCCCAGTTCACTCTTCTCTTCGAAAAGTAAAAGAAAAACTCTTTCATTGTTATACAATCCCTCCCCCCAAGTCTACTCCACTATGCAGCCTTCATTCTGGACTCCTGTCATGACAATAATACCTAACCACATATCCTTTTTTAAAAACATTTATTTATTTATTTTTTAATTTTTTTTCCTTTAACCTCATTTTCTAACTTTTTTGTAACAATAATCAAATTCCAACTGGATGCCACTTAATAAAAATACAATGCTGGCATTAAGTTGATAAATTGAAGTCTAGCACATGGACAGAATGCAGAAGGAAGTTGTCTATATGTTCTCATGATAAATTTATTCCGCATTTCGCCATACAAACTCACAACTCCCTGCGTGATTATGCTTTCCATAGGAGCATGCTCAGATCCCAGTATGCAGTCTTTCCTACGCTTATAATCTACATGACTGTTTTCTCTGATTTCTTAAATCTCTCCTCATTTTATGACCTCTCCTGTGAAAATTAACATTAAAAAGATTATTTGTTAGTAATTGTTCTTATTATGTGCCATTGAATTGCCTGTCACACATAATGACCCTATGTACAACAGCTCTGAAGCCCACCCTGTCCTGACGCAGTCTCATTGACTCTGATACACCTATCCCACTTATCCTAGTTACTGTATCAATCTATCTCATCTGGGATCTTCCTTTCCTGAACAGTTCCTCCATCCTTCCAAGCATGATATCCTTCTTCAAGGATTGGTCCCTTCTGACCAGGTGCTGGGTTTCAACCTCTTCAAGACACACCTGTTTGTTTTCTTGATGATCCATGGTATGTTCAAGATTTCTCTTCAGCACTAAACCTCAAAGGCATCAATTCTTTTGTTATCCTTAGTCATTGTTTCTGATGCCTAACAATTGTGAAGACCATTGCATGGATAAGGCACACCTTAGTCTCTAGACTGACATCATTGTATCTCAGCACTCTTGAGAGTTTCCTGACAGCAGATTTTCCCAGTGCAATTAATATTTTTATTTTCTGACTGCTGGTGCCAAGAGTGTTGATTATGGAGACAAGCAAGTTGTAATTATTAACAACCTCAATCTCTTCTTCATTTATCAGGGTGGTGCTAGTTGGCCCAGTGATGAGAATATTTGTCTTGAGGTTGAGCTTCAATCTGTATTGAAGACTACATTCTTAGACCTTCTGCAGCAAGTGCTTCAGGTACTCCTCAGTTTCAGTAAGCAAGGTTGTGTCATCTGCATAAAGTAGGTTGTTGATGAGTCTTCTCCAATCCTGATGCCACAGGATAAATCCTTGAATTCCAAATTATCTGTTCTGCATATAGATTGAAAAGGTAGGGAGACAGGGCACATTCCTGATGTACTCCTTTTCTGATATTGAACTATGCAGTGTTTCCTTGCTCTGTTCTAAGGACTGCTTCCTTGTCTGAGTATAGGTTTTGCATGAGCACAGTCATGTGTTCTGGGATTCCCATTCTCCTCAGGATTAGCCACAATTTGTTGTTATCCACATAGTCAAATTTCTTTGTACAGTCAATGAAACTCAGATAAACACTCCTGCGGTACTCCTTACTTCTGCCAAGATCCATCTGACATTAATGATAATATCTCTAGTGCCATGACCTCTTCTAAATGCAGAATGTATTTCTGTTAGTTCTCTATCAATGTACTGTTCCAGTCTTTTTCAGATAATTTTTAGCAGTTTTTTGCTTATGAATGATGGTAGTGATATTCTTCTATAATTTCCACATTCTGTTGAGTCATCTTTTTTTTGAATGGAAATAAATATGGATCTTTTCCAGTCAGTTGGCCAGGTAATTGTCCTCCAGATTTCTTGGCACAACCTAATGACCACAGCACAGGGCAGCATCAGTTTGTTGAAATATGACAATTGGTATCCTGTCAATTCCTGGGGACTTGATTTTTGCCCAGTTCTTGAGATCAACCTACACTTCCTCCTTCATCATCACTGCCTCTTGATTTTACGTTATTTCTTGAAATTCTTCTCTTTCAGTCAATTCTTTTTGATACAGTGACTCTACACACTTCTTTCATCTTTTATTTCTTTCTGAATCATTCACTATTCTACTGATACCATTCTTAAATATTACAACTCATGGTTTGAATTTGTTCTTTAGTTCCTTCAGCTTAAGACCATGCTTATAATTGCTGTTGAAAAGGATATATGGTCGTGCAGTGGTGAAATATCAGCTACTAACCCTAGCTTGGCTGTTGAAAGCCATTAATTTCTCCTTGAGAGAAAGCTATCTATTTCCATAAAATTTACATCCTTGGAAATTCCCTGGGGCAGTTTCTATTCCACCATAAGGTTACTATGCTTTAGAATGAACAACAATGAATAATCTTAAAATTGCAAGCATCTCAGTCAGGAACAGTTAGTTCTACAGGACTTGAATAATCTTTCTCCTCCTCTTAGCTCAAAATATAAGTTATAAAAAATGTAAGTTATATTCTAACTCTTTTTTCTGGAAGAATCTTTCATTTCCAGCAATATATGTGTGCATGTATTTAGCATGTATGCATGTACTCAGAATTTTTTTCTTTTTAACTTCCTTCCAATGAGTTTTGAAATTTATGTTTGGGACCTGCTATTGGTACTAGTTAGGGAAGAGTTTGTACAAATGATTTAATTCTGACTTTTTCCCTTCCCACAGATTTATCTGTGATCTGGGCAATATTACTCTCAAAAGTAGTATGATTGCTTTTCCTCTTTTCTTCTGAGCTAATGTCTCAGAGTATGGTGTTCTGTGTCCAATCAGAAGGATATATATGTAAAAATATAAACTCCTGATCTCAATGGTCAACATCCTGGATTTGAGTCTCTGGAGATAAAGGTCTGGGATCTACTTTTTGGACAAGTGACCTTGGACTCCAGGGAGTACTCAAATCTAGGAATCATTGCCCTAGGCTGTGGTGCTAGCAGAGAACAGCAAACTGTGGAAATTCCCTCAGTGGAAAGCTAGCAGTTAAGTCCAAGAGTTTTCCTGTAAGGGGCATGTGTTTTTGGAAGTGGTTTTCCTCTCTCAGATCAATAGAGCATGTGCATTTTAGATTATCAGACACAAGGAAGAGATTGCCTTTTTTGTGACTCACCAAAGCAATATGCATCTGTCCCAGTTGTATTATACCATGCACGTGTGTAGCTTTCATTTCTTTTTTCCCCTCCTTGTTGTGTATCGTCAAGTCAGATCCAACTGGTACAGAAGGAGATTGACCCTCCTTCTCCAGCAGAGCATGTGGTGGTAGTTCTCATTTCTTGAGTGAATATTTGGAAGTAAGTTTCCTTTTCTCAGTGATTAAGAAAAAAAAGTCTAGTCTTTTGTAATTCAATTAAAGCCAGCAACAAGTGCTATTAACATATGTATTCTTTTTTATGAAAATACTATTGCTATTAGTGGTCCTTGAGTACACTCTGACTCAAAGCAGCCGCACATGTGTAGACAAAAACTATCCCATTATATTTTCAAGACAGTCCTGTCTTTCAAGTACCTCTAGATGGGTTCTCACTAACAACCTTTTAGCATGTCGTCAAGCCTGGATTTATAATTCACATATATATAGTTTTTAATTAGAATTATAATTTATGAATTTTTATAAAAACAAATTAAAATGATAAAATATTAAATTTTGGTCGCCACAGTGTATGTGTGCATTCCTGAAGGACATTTTTATCACCAGTGATTTAGCTTTCTGCTTTAAATATGACAAAATCATTGTCAAAGGGAACATAGTCATGACCTTGGTAAAATATTGCTAAAGTATGCTCGTGGCCCTTTCTTCTCAGAGTACTTGACCTATTGGAAATTTTTCTTGCTTCTTTGTTCCCTCCTTCTCATTTTCCATATTAAAATCTCTGTGAAATTTTTCCATTATTGTAATTTAAAAAATTATTTTAGTGAGCAGAAAGTTCATTTTATGGTGATAAAATAAATGTGTGTTTGATCTGTTTATTTGTTCTCAATGAATAGCATTTGATCATTTAAAGTGCAACAAGGCTATCCACTCCGAAATAGGTGAAACACCCGTTCTTCCTGATGTGTTAAGAGCCGTTTTAGAATATCATCTCTGTCTAATGAACAATGTTGAATTCCATTGTTTCACAAAGGAAAGAGGAATAATATGAGGAATTCTTAGTCATGTTAATATTTACCATTTAGCTATTACTACCTAAAGGACTTAAAAATGCTAGATCATTTTAATCCTTACACTGTATGAAGAGATAGTGACACCCTAATTTTATAAACATCACAGCCCTATCACCTTTAGTTTGTAAATTGCACAGCAAGAGTTTGCATCCAGAATGGTCTGGATTAAAATGTGCACTGTTTTCTGCTCAGGGATGTCAAAAGGTTAAGAGTCACACTTCAAACCACCTTCCCAGGTGCCAGAAACGCTTTCTGGAGCTGCTGGGCCCAACTCTTTGGAATGCAAACTCCCTTCAGCAAGCGCTCGTTTAGCATAGTTTCACCCTTGGCCTGTCTGTCTAAGGTAGTCAGCGAATATTAAAATGGTCGGAATCATAAAGTAGCACCCAGTCAACCATGCAGTCTTGCCGAGGGAGGAGAATAAGTCACTTTCCCGGCGGGCCTGAGAAGAAGCAGTTTATAGGCTTCTTGAATGAGGTGTGACCAGTCCCTCCATCCTCACAATCGCTCACATCTCTGGTGACCATCATCTTGCCTTAGCCCATAGTCTAGGCAGAAAAACTTCACCAGGTTCTCCTTTCCTACTCCTCCCCAGACATAATCAAGCTTTTCATTCACCTAACTTCTGATTGGAGGCCTGTCGCTTTGGATAATGACCTGTAGGACCCCCCTGTTGGTTCCAGCCTATTCTTTTTATTCTTGCCACAACTTAAGATGCCAGGACAGGAGCGTGAGGGAAAGTAAAAGTCTAGTACTTTCACATCCCCAGATACAGAGACACAGAAGACTTTGACAGCATTCCAGCACCTGAGTGGTCCCTGGGCTGGCGTCTGCCCAGGTGTCCTCTCCTGACAGGCTGCTCACCAAAATGAGGGACTTTCTCCAGTACACTGCCTGCTTCTTTGCCCTTTTCTCAGCTGGATTTTTGATTGTGGCCACTTGGACAGACTGTTGGATGGTGAATGCTGATGACTCTCTGGAGGTAAGAAGTCAGTGATTTCTTTCTCACTTAGGATCCCCAAACCTTCTCTAAGCCCCTGTGCTGCTCAGTTTGTTTATTAGAGCTAACAGGAGTAAGACTAGCCAACATTGACTCATTACTTACCGATTTACTCCTTACAGAATCTCTATTATTCCCTCAATAAATCCCCACAGCAAGCTTAGAGAAGTTTTTATTGTTATCCTCATTTTAAAGATGTTGTTGCTGTTGTTGTTAGGTGCCTTTAAGTTGAGTATGGTTACTCAGTAATATCCCTTAAGGATATTAGAAGAATTCATAGAAGGCAAGTTGCAATCTCTATGGCATTGATTTCCTCTTGTTGTACAAACCAAATAGTAGCAGTAATATCCATGGATGGATCTGTTAATCTGAATTACAGTATTAAGAATAGAGCAATAGACTTGTACCCATTACTATATAATATATTAATTATGAGGGAATTTCTATGGTACAATGTATCACAGAGAAAAGGAGATTTATGTAGATCAGCGCAGTTCCCTCTTAAAAAGAATGAGTTCTTGGGAATTCTAAGAACTTACAGGAAATGGATTCTCATATCTTTTTCTCACTTCAGAATCTAAAAAAATAAATAAATCTGAAATTCAAAAGAATTTTCTAAGGCCATGAGTCTGAGAGAGGTAGACTTCAAAATCTTCTGCTATTCCAAAATAAATTTAAAAAAATTATAGGTCAGAGAAAGAAACAATGTATTAGAACTCAATAAAAGCATATATGGCAACCCAATTTCCTCTTTATGTACATCCTGAAGGTAACAATTTACCCAAACAAATACTGAAAAATATCACAGCACTGAAG